AGTGGGGATATCCCCCCCCCCCCCCTTGGCATAGCTGGGAAAGACTGAGAATGACATTTCAGATGAGCTACCATCATAAGATCTCCATATATTAATATGAAGAATCCACTACATGATGTCCCCGGCAGCTCGGCTGAAGAGTTGGACTCTGAATAGGGGTGATATCTGCCTGCTTGATCTACAGATGACATTGAGGGATCAAGACATGCTCCTTTAATAAAGAGGAACTCATTCGTTCAAATACTTATGGATCTCCTTTCTCCTAAAAAAGATAAAACAATCATTTTTCCAGAAACCTGTTTTTCTAAATGTTTATTTTCTGATTTGATTCTAAAAGGAGGAGAAGCTGCTGGAGATATTAGTACAACATGGAGTCCGCAGCGGGAAGACCGGAAATCTGGCCATGGAGGTTGATGGACTTCCATTCTTCAACACCCATTCTGACATGATCCGAAGTCTACTAGATGATACATTGTAACCAGCGAACTGTCACCGGGTCAGACCTACCTGCACCGTATGCCTCATACCGGGCCTGGTGTCTTCATACTGTCACCAGGTTCGACCCACCTACACTGTATACCTCATACTGGGCCTGGTGCCTTTGTACTGTCACCAGATCAGACCCACTTGCACCGCAAACCTCATACCTGGGCCCAGGATCTCTGTACTGTCACCAGGTTAGACTGCACTGTAGGCCTCATACTGGGCCCAGTGTCTCTATACTGTCACCAGATCAGACCCATCTGCACCGCAAACCTCATACCCGAGTCTATTGTCTCTGTACTGGCTCCAGATCTGACTCGCATGCACAGTACACCTCATAGCTGGGCCCAGTGTCTCTGTACCTTCATCAGGTCAGACCTATTTGTACTGCACAGCTCATACCTGAGCCCAGGGTCCCTGTACCACCATCAGGCCAGACCCACCTGTGCTGCACAGCTCATACCTGGGCTCCGTGTCACTATACTGTCACCAAATTTGACCCAACTTCACCGTACAACTCATACCTGGACCCAGTGTCTCTGTACTGGATCCAGACCCGACCCACCTGCATTGCACACCTCATACCTGGACCCAGGGTCTCTGCACCCCAATCAGATCAGACCCACATGCAACGCACACCTGGGGCCTAAATGTACAAACACTATCATCGAAAATGAGAACAGATCTTCAGAATTTGGATACATCATGTCATTTCAATATTTTATAACATGATTTCTCACTATTGTGGTCTCATAGCACTCTCCACTCTGTTATATAGAAACAAAACCATATTAGCATAGGACTGACTGAAGCAGTATTGCAGTTGCTCTTACTGCCATCATTAAGTAATAGGCAGTGTAAATTCTGATGTTTTGGTGCCTTCTCAGGGCAGCCATCAGGGGGGGTACGGCCGATACTCATGTAAGGGGCCCGGGCAGCCTGGAGGGCCCGCCCGGGTCCCTTACATGACTATCGGCCGACGGTGAAGGGCGAGGAGGCGGAGGCCCTAGCAGCACAGGGCCCCAGCATTGCCGTTCCAGCGGCTTCGAGACAAGCTGGGGCCCCATCAGTGATGCTGCTCGTCTGATGTCGGACTGACCGGAAGTGACGTCACATTAGTGAGGTCACTTCTGGCCTGTCCGGCGGCAGACGAGGCCACATGTGCAGGTAAGAGGAGCTAGGAAGGAAAGGAGGGAGGGGAGGGATGCAGCCCTGACCAGCCCACCTGAGACCCCTTCAGAGCCCACCATAGACAGTCTCAGATAGGCTGTGCAGAATATATGGTGGGCTCTGCAGAGTCACTCTCAGGTGGGTCCTGTGTCCAGCGCGTCGGTAAGCCCTGCGTCCAGCGCGTTACTAAGCCCTGCGTCCAGCGCGTCACTAAGCCCATGTCCAGCGGCGTGGGGGCGGCCTAAAGCCGTGTAAGGGGCCCCAAAATTTCTGACGGCTGCTCTGTGCCTTCTAATTGAATCTTCACCTCTGGATCTTCAGCTCTGGATGTTGCTCTGTGCCGGGAACTCTTGATGACTCCTAGAACAAATGGATTATTGCAATGACACATTCATTTAGACACTAACAGACTTGGTGGAAATGTGATCATTTATCTTTTCAGCAAACGGCCGCTTTTCTTCACGGAGCTGAACTGAATTTAACACGTCCATACAATGTTTTTTGATTGTCTTATAATGTGTTATTCCTGGAATAAAATAATTTAGTTCATTGTTGGGTCTGTCTGCCTGCTGCACACATTGAGCTCTAATCTTTCGTATCTCATGAGTATTGCTTCCATAATAATTCAGTGCGCATAGATGAGACTCCTAGAATTGTCTGAAGATCAGATATGTACAAAAAAATAAATCTTCATTTGTACAATCTCGTTTCAATGTATGTGATGTTATCTTATGGCGCAGCAATACTGGGGTATTGTAAGTTAAAGTGACATTATTTTTTAACATAAAACAATACTGTAATGTGCACCTTACTGTAATCCATGGTTGTTTCCCTTCTCTTTGCTGCTCATCCCTTTAAATCTGTATCTGTTCTCATGCTCTGCAGAACTTCTGTTTTGCAGCAGACTGCCTTGTCTCAGGAATGGATACACGGTGTCTGTGTATACGTTTCTATAGGCTTGTAATCTTAGCCAGCACTACAGGAAGAGGCGCTGAGCTGAAAAGGTAAGTTCTTCCCCAGCATGAGAAGACATGAGGATTTAAAAGGAAGAGCAGCAAAGAGAAGGGAAACAACCATGGATTACAGTAAGGCGCACATTACAGTATTGTTTTACGTTAAAAAATCTCAGGGTTTAATGTCACTTTAATTATTGATATTTTCAAAGAAGCACAATGATGGGATTGAAGAAAAACACCCTTCCTATATGTAAGGACATTGTCAGCTAATATTTTATGTTTAGGAAGAAATGATCAGGTAAACACCTCAAACCTTGCTCAAATCTGTGCTGCCCACCATAACGGCCCGGATAACAAACCAACTGGCTGGCTGGGGACAGTCCAGGGTTCTCTTCACCTCCAAGCTCTAGTTCCCAGAATTCAGCACAGGTTGAGGATGTTGGTGCTGAACACAGACTGAGCAAAGCGCAGGGAACAGTGAGTGACCTGCTTGTCATATTTAAACTGTTATTAAACCCTCATAGCAAAAAAAAAGTATATAAAGCGGCAGATCTCAGCACTTGCCATGTTGGTGGTCCGCTTCTTTTTTTAAGACTTTATTGCTTTGCATTAGCTCTCGCAAAATACTCTCCCCCTAGTTCCCGTTTTTGGATGGCTCCATCCCCTTACTGTGTTCCAGGGAGCCACCTTTGCATGCGCGGGAGCCTGCACTATCCGTAGAGCACATGATACCGTGTTTCCCCGAAAATAAGACACTGACTTATTTTCTTTTTTGCATGAAAAAAGACACTAGGTCTTTTTTTCGGGGGATGTCTTACCTGGCTGGGGGAGGACTGGACGTCCCAGAAGGCGGCGCGCTGTTGCCGGTCCCGGTGTGATCTTATGCCGGTTCCATCGGGCGTGTGGGTGGGAACTGCGGCCGGCGTGTGGGCGGGGCGAGAGCTGCGGCTGGCTGGTGTGTGGGCGGGGCGGGAGCTGCGGCCGGCGTGTGGGCGGGAGCTGCGGCCGGCTAAAATTCAGTTTATGTGCCGCTACCCCGAAAGTAAGACCTAGCGGATTTCTGCAATATAAAACCTACCACCGAACTAGGTCTTATTTTCGGGGTAGGTCTTATATTACAGAAATCACTGAAGATAGCGCTAGGTCTTACTATCCGGGTAGGTCTTACTTTCGAGGAAACACGGTAAATACTGAGGGATGCACCAATACTTTTCGAGGACCAGTGCAGACACTTGGCATTTTCATGAGAACTACCAGGGTTGCAGAGGTTGCAGCTGAGACCTGGCTCTGGCGCTCCACCACTGTCCTGAAATCATTAGTCTGTATTGTTTTAGAAAAACTGTCACATGACAATAAACAAAAATGTATCAGTACTCGTACTTGTAAGTACTCGGCAAGTACCAGTACTCGTACTCGCAAAACTGGTATCTGTGCATCCCTTTATTTATATTTATAAAAACAAAATCGTACATTAAAACAGAGATGTACAAATCCCGGGAGCTCCGTGTGCTCCTTACAAATGACAGCTGACTCCTAATTTTTTAATTTTTCTCTAGTGTAGTCTTGGAGCTCAAAAGTATCTGTACTTGTACTCATACTTGTACCGAGTATAGGAATTGGTATCTGTGCAACCGTAATATGAGGGGTTCCCCTACCTGGACATTGGGGGAAGCGGCACTATGCAACCTAGAGCCGGCAGCAGCGTGTAGCAAAGGATGTAAGTGTTTGTGGCCCCACATAAAGGAAATTATGTACTGAATGTTTAACAGATTGCTTAAAATGCATTTAAACATACTGGATTGTTTAATACCGAAGTGATACAGTTGCATTTTGGTTTCTCACCACTAGGTGCTGCTATAGCATCAGACTTGACTTCAAATTAAATGACATCAAATCCGCATAGCACATAGAGTAGAAATGTCAGAGGGAGTTTGTGATCTCAATGACATTTCTGGATTTTTGTGTGAGTGGATCTAAAATGTGATTTGATTTGCATCTAAGTCATGATAAGTAACGGCAGTCATATTTGTGAATGGGTTTGAAAGAACCAACTACATCATCTACCCCACCCAGGGGCATCCCTTTTTAGTACTCATCATCGTTTTATCCTCCTCCCTCCAACCCATCTGGGATCTTACTGACCTACACCCGTTAGAGAAATTCTTCTCACAAATGGACCCCCCGCTGCACGGGATCTCACAGTTTTATAAACTCATGCTTAGTGAATGTAATAAGTCTGGACCCCCTTTCCTAGATCAGTGGGTCTCGGAGTTCACTGAACAGCCACCGGAACACTATCATGATGGAGCTCTACGGTTGTGCTGTCCTTCCTCCATTAGCTTACGTGTGATAGAATCCTCGTATAAATTTATGGCCGGATGGTTACATAGTTAGTCAGGTTGAAAAAAGACACATGTCCATGGAGTTCAACCTATAGAAATCTGATGGTATTATGTTCCTGTTCTCCTTCATAAAATGTCCTCCTCTAACCCACCGACATGTTGGAGAAATTGTGGTGCTTTGGGAACCTACTCCCATATCTGGTGGTACCACGGAAAATTGTATACTTACCTATCGGTAATTTTCCTTTCCTGACGCCAATACATGGCAGCATACAATGGGGTATGGCCCCGCCCCCCATTGTATGCTGCCATGGATTGGCGTCAGGAATACGGAAAATTGTATACTTACCTATCAGTAATTTTCCTTTCCTGACGCCAATCCATGGCAGCATACAATGGGGGGCGTAGCCATTCCCCATTGTATGCTGCCGAGGATTGGCGTCAGGAATGCCCCTTTATACAACCGTTCTGGTCCAGGGTCATCGACCTCATAACCACCATCACTGGTACCGCCATTGCACTGAATCCAAGGGTTTGCCTATTTCATTGTGCTGATGTATCTATGTCTCCTTATAAAGAACCAAATTACTCAATC